GGAGACTTTCTTCCTGTTTCCTTTCTTGTTCTAGTTGCCACTGCTGTAATCTCTCTTCTTGTTTCCTTTCTTTTTCTTCCAACAACTGTTGTAATCTCTCTAACTGCTTCTTTTCTCGTTCTTCTTGTTTCTTTTGCTGATATTGGATTGCTGCCATCAAATCTGTTTAATTGTAATTTGATTTGCCGCTTCTCGTTTTCGTTCTTTTTTTCTTTTCTGTCCCACTCTCTGACACCAATTTGTTACGTCTCTGGTCGTTAGTTACTCTCCCGTATAATTTCTTTCTGATGAAACTTTAGCGATACAAATCCTTTCTTAAATAAAACTGGTTTATTCTTTCTGAATACAACTTTGCAATACACTTAATTTCCACAGTCGCGCTATAATTCACAACGAACGTCTCACGTGCTCGACTCAGCTGTCAATTGCACATAGTTGCCGTCAGTTCTTGGCGGCTTATATATACAAGACTACCGCATATCTAGTAGCCTCTCGAGACTTCAGGAAGGGACAGGATCCTTCTAGAAGTTCATGACGTGTTACTGGCGTCACGTGATTTCCGCTGTCGTAACAGTATATTAGTATCAATTTTGTATGTTAGTTGCGTTTGAGGTTTTTTGTTCTGACGGTTGTATGATCTAAGAAGACATCTAACTACCTAGATTATTAGTGTGATGTGATGAGATATTCTCATCATCTGGGTTAGTATTACTATGAAACAAGGTATAACAGTTCCTAAGTCAATCCTACTATGAAAAAAAGATATTTCATGTAAACAAAATGTTCGGTTTTCGATTTTTTCACTTTGTATCAAATATCTGGATGGAGTAGCTGCTTCAGAACCTGGCTAACCCAATTTAATCCTAATTCGTGAAAGGTCCACTTCAATGAAATTAATTTTCGTGCCCAAGGGTTCTTCTAATGATACTCATTCCCAACTTGTATTTTTCCACTTGTAAGCTAGGGTCAAAGTTACAACTCATAAAAGGCCTGGTACGGCGATCTTTTAAGCCCAGAATGAGTCAACAACTAAAAATCCATTTAACGCTCCATCTACATTATATCACACGAAGAAATCGAAAATTTATTGTATTTACGTTAATATATAGTGTATTAATGAAAGATCAAATAGGGTAAGGCTGTGTGGGTAGGAGGCAGGGAGACTTTAAGGCCTACATACAGCAGTGTCTATTCTCAAATCTTTTATAACCAACTACTTCTGCGTCAATTAGTCCTTGATTCTTTCAAGTTAAGACTGAAGAAGTCACCTTAGTGTACAAAAAATTGCATTAGTTTAATTAATTAATTTCCGTTAGTTTAAAAGAGAACAACTGCATTTGTTTAGACTTCTCATGCTGCTAATTTACCTTTCAAACAACCTAGCAACACGTGTATGTTCGCAGAGAAAAACCTATGTTGGCGTCAGTACGATTCTACAAATTACGTGCACAGTTTTTTCCGTATAATAATAATTCTGTGAGACTTATTGACTAAGATACTTTGTTACGTATGTTAAGTTGTAACAGTGCACATTAGTTTTCCATATCTCTTTTAACTCGGGTATCGATGGTGAACATTAACTTTACTACTTTCTGGTAAACTTACTGGTGAATTTTACTTTTGTTTGAATCGTTATAACATACATTTCAAGTTCTATATTTGGTGTTGCTCGGAGAAAAGGTGATGTTGTGAATAAAACATCTGGGAGGATATATTAGTAAACATAATGTTAATAATGAACATTAAAATGTTTATAACTTCTCTTGTTGATTTTTTGTGTGTGTACATTTTCAGTTGTTTTGTCAATAATTTTCGAAGTTTTCTCTCTCATTAACCATAAATTTCTATTTATATTGTAAATCAATGTAGTCACTTCCAAAAATGCGTTACGTTAATCAGTTGGGAGGTGTGACTATTAAAAATGTACCGATAAAAATCATTAAATTCGTATCTTTTGAGAAACTAGCACGTTTTACAATCGATTCGTGTTAACGATCTCATATAAACACCAATAATTCACGTTTAGTTTGTAACACTCTTTAAAAATGAACTATAAACAATCACGAAGATATTTACAAAACAGAAGGTACATGCTAGAATTTTGTTTTGAACTTCAGAGATTGAGTAAGTTATGGTGAAACGATTATTAGGCTTAAGGCGTCCGTGACGACAGTGCATCTTGACAGTGGTAAAGCTATCGTGTTAAAAGCACATCAGTAATCCCCGCTTTTTTTCTTTAGGGTCTGTATCTAGTCTGGTTATACGAAAATCCTTGGGTGACTTATCTAGCATGTCTTTGTATGAAATAGCATGAATAATCATTTCATTCACCAGCTGTTTGAGGTATGAACAGATATGTAGTGGCAGCAAGTTGTATACTCGTTATTCTGTCGCTGTTTTGCAACTATTAATGAATTATTACTGTTACAAGACACCGACTGGGTTATTACTTGCTGCAGGTCTCTTTGTGGGTGGTCTCGGTACCCGACGTTGATCCATACTTCTTTTTTTTTTAATGCCAATAAGTAGAAAGTATATTCCTTCCTGGAAATTATAAATCCCCTATCTGAGAACATCTTTCTGATCTGAGTGTATATAATTTTTATGTCGAAAAGTGTCGTTATGTACCATTTCAAAAAGCGAATATTTGTTGGTGGCATCAATACCTAGGTTCATTTCACCTGCTCGTTATTGAGAAGAAATGACGAACCAGCAAGCTAGACTTCTTAAAATGATGAATCGGCAAGTTAGTATTCTTGTTCCCAAAACGGATCAAGCAAACACAGCTTCAACTGAATAAGTTTGATTTGAATTTTGCGCAAAGCTACAGTATGCTATAATCAGCAGCTCAATAGAATGGCTCCGATTTTTTCAAGTATAAACCACCTTTAGCTCGTAGCTCCGTCATCGCTTGACCAATATGATATCTAATTACAGTTTGGACTCAGGAGGTAAAACCCTGTTGATTGGTGTATTTGACCACGACCAAGGTCTCATAGATTAATTTACTCTAATCATGTCTAAAAGAATTTCAATTTGAGGGTAGATTGGTAGAAATGCTTATGAATAATATAATGGAATTTGTCTTACAAATCTTTTGACATTCTTTGGTTTGTTCTGAATTTTGCGCAAAGCGAGGGCTATTTGCACTAGCCGTCCCTAATTTAGCAGTGTAAGACTAGAGGGAAGGCAGCTAGTCATTACACCCACTGCCGCCGACTCTTTTACCAACGGATAGTTGAATTGACCATCATGTTATAACGCCCCCACAGCTGAAAGGGCGAGCATGTTTGATGCGATGGGGATTCGAACCCGCGACCCTCAGATTGCGAGTCGAGCGTCCCAACCACCTGGCCATACATAGCCATTTATTTTAAATGTACAACAAACTCATTTCCTATTATCCTTAATTGTACTTAATACCCAAAAAGGTCCAGTAATAAAAGTACTTCCTACAAAGTCAATTTTTTAACCTTAATAATGCCAAAAAAATAAAAATTTATATTATAAGATAGCAGTCAAAAAATCGTTCATGAATTATACATGTTACTCAGTTATTCTAGTCTTCTTAAATTACTAATAAAACTAAAAATAGTTCAGAAACAGTGAAAGAAAGAAACATCTCTTAGCAAGAGAAAGAAAAAAAGTAGACAGATGTCACAAGAAATATCAAAAAAGCTTAAAAATTAGAATAACTGAAGCAGAAAAAAAAAACTGACATGGTTAAATGAAGCTCCTGAAGAAACAAAGTGAAGAAAACAAACTGATTCTGAAAGACATGCAAACAGTTTCTGGCCCCATTATGTCTTCTCTGAACAGCTAGTTTTACGCAATTTCCAAAAAGGTCAAATAGTAAACTACTTCTTAAAAATCAAATTGTTTGATCTTAATAAATCAAGAAATAAAAATATTTATTGTCAGAGAGCCATAATAAATTGTTCATGGATTATACATGTTACTCAATTATTCTAGATTTCTTATATTACTAAGTTAGTAACTTTTTTAGTGAAAAAAAAAAAGGTCCTTACTTATTGTTTCAGGAACAATTCAATATAAACTATTCCTATTATTTATTTTTATACATTATTATCATAGATCATATAAATATGTGAAAAAAAGAATAACTTTGTCGCTGTTTAGAAAATTTCAGTGTTGTAATAATGTATCATACTTTAAGATCAATGAAACTGTGATTTAACACGCACATTAATTCAAATCAAGATTTTATTAACATAAATGATCATATTCCACTGATGTGTGTGTATCTATATATATATGTTAAAAATTATATCCACACAGACGGTCATAATTATTCCTGGATGAGAATTCCTTTAACACTGCTTTCAAATTGCCTGAAATAATTAAAAAAAACAAAGTCAGAGCTAAACTTCAAAACAGTCTTCTTATCCAACCCTCTGATCACTTGTAGGACCAGAACAAACCCATACAATGTTTTATACGAGTAGAGACTAGTTAAAAAAATATGTAAATGGCAAGTCATTAGAAAGAAACACTTGTATACAAAACATGAGCACATATTATTTTAACTCATAAGTACTTATTCATAAACTTTAAAACACAAAACTGATTAAAATAATGCTTATTTACAAATTCGGTAAACTGCAAAAAACATCTAATTTGGAAATTACTTTTGTTTCACCTTCTGCTGGTTCAAAGGAAATTAACTTCTGCTTGATCTGTCAGTATGTTCATTCAAGCAGAACCCTTATGAAATGCCCTTGGTACGAGTATATGGGAATTCTAAAGAATGATCAGTATTCTCACCCTGGCTCATTCAACAGGGATCAGTGAAGCATTATCATAGTGTTGAAATTGACATTCTGTAATGACATGGAAGAATTAGCCCCATAAAATGGAAAGAATGACAAAATATTCTCTTGTCCCAACACTTTTGCACAGTACTGTTTTTCCAACAGATATTCACCTCCATACATAGATAGCTATTTAACTCTTCAAGTTGTGCATATCTGTCAGACTTACATGTCACCAGCCTTGTGAAAACTCCCACCTAAATTCACGTGTGTTCACATGAATTTACACTACCACATGATGCTCAAACTCGAAAAGAACCTTTCTGTGACCTCTTGCATGAAAAATGTATGTATGTAGTCGATGCAGGGAAAAATATTGCAATTGATGAAGCTTTGGTACTTTGGAAGGGTAGGTTATCTTTCCAGAAGTTTATAAAACCAAGAGATCACGTTTTGAATTGAAACTTTTCATTGTGTGCCCCTCAGGAGATGATTTGAGTGGATATACCTGGAATTTCAGTATATATTATGGAAAGGACACATACCAAGTGCCATTTACTATACCCCAATACCCTTCAGTTTCAGAGAATTGTAGTGCATCTGGCACAAGGTTTACTAGACCAAAGACGACATATAATTGTTGACAACTGGTATTCCAGTTTGAGGTTAGCCAAGTATTTAGATTTGAGAAAGACTTATATGACAGTCACAATAAGGCCAAAAAGATGCCCTCCAAAAAAATGTGTGCCAAAAAAGTCTATTCTCCCTAAACCTTTGTGGAGCACTAAAATGTATGTACAACAAAAAAAGAAACATTATGATTTTCAAATGAATAAGCTGTTAGTTTTTTGTTTTGTTTTTTACTTTTGTAAAATCTCATGAGCTGGCAAGGTGGTTGAGAAACACTGCTTTAGATCCAATGAAAAGCCACATCTTAAGTCTTAAAAATGGCATATGTCTCAAAATAAACTTATTCTAGTGACTGTTTTAGGCACATATTCATTGCTGTAAATACTGATGAATAATTAACAATTCAGTAGTAAGTATACCACAATTCAGTAAACATTATGTTATTGAAAGTAGTTGTTTGACAGAAGTGAAGATCAAAGACAAATAATGCATTTAGTGCATATTAGTTTATGAATATTCTCTCATATAGAAATTTTAATCCAAAGCAAATGCTCTTACTTGGAACAAATGGTATCTCCTGGTACATAAAACGGATTGCAAACAACATCACTGTAGGCATTGTGAAGTTTTCGAAACATCTATCATAGAAAATTAACAAGTGAAACAGGCTGAAAATAAACTGTGGAAAAAACACTAGGATATGTTAATGATGACTAGGAACTTTTACTTATCATATCAAATGTTTACAGTTTTAATATTTAGTTTTTTCACGCTACAAAAAAAAGTATGAATTTTAATGTTTGTTTTCAACAAAATCAGTATATTAAAGGGATTTTATATTAATATTTTCTATCATTCTGCTTTAAACAGTACACTACATTACCTTAATCTTCTAACAAACAACTATTAAAAATCATAATTAATTTATAAATGTTTATTAAGAATGTCAGAACATAAGGAAATTTGTTCTAATCTTGATGTAAAACTTCATAATATAAAATTTTACTTCAAATAATTCCATAATCTCCAAACTAAGTTAAATTAAATAAAACTTTTCATTCTTCAAGTTTTTATGCTATGAAGTTGAAACTAAAATAAAAGTTGAACCAGACAACTGAATAAAGGTTAAGTAAGTCAGCAATGGAAACTATCATTTAACCCACCATACCAATCTCATTAAAATAAAAACTTTGAAGCCCTAATATTTCCAAGAGGCAGACCCGTCAAAAATACTAGGATTTGATTATTAATACTTTTTAGTGTGGTCTTTCCACTATACTAGTTATATCCTATTTTGGCTACATATCTTGACAAATAAGTATTTTGTTAAAAAATTTATAATTCATAAACTAATCAAACAAATATTAGAATAGCTTATAATTCTGCATCATATTCTTATTTTTACATGAACTTAATAATACTACAAGTACCAAAAACATTCTTACTTACTTGTCTAATATCATTATCTCGAAGTGTTGTATAACTTGATTCAACAATGATTATAAATTTAATTCTTGTGTTCGTGACATATCCATACCTACAATAAAGAAAGGCATAACCATATTAATTTTTCTTACACTACAAACTAACACAAGTTCTATAATCTTTGTGTGATTGTCCATATAAAATTATATTTGGAAATACTGCATTATGTATCTGATTAAAAACAAAAATTTCAAAGGCAAGTATTTAATACCAACTTTCATTGCCTTAAAATACACAAAGTTATAATGATAACTTTTCAAATCAATGTTACGACAATATTTAAAATACTTACTACGTTAGTGCATCAATGTCTCAATTTTTGTTAACCAATTTTACCATTGTACATTAATGTATTTTTAATTCAACAGTCACACTGGTTTTTTGTATGTTAACATAGCTATATCCAATTATGTATACGAATGCGTTTATATAAATGCTGACACTGCAATTTAATGAAAGAAATAACTAGCATACATTCTTGGAAAGCATAAAAATATTGCAGGCTGCAAAATTACAGTTTGACTAATACAACATAGCATTTCTAAGAAAAGACTGTGTATTGCAATCTTTTACCTGTTGTGTTCTAAATATTGTTTTATTAATTCTGTGGCTAACAGTAGACACAGCACAGCCTCAACAATGCACTTACACTTTGTAGTCTTCTGTAGGATAGAGAAGTCCCAAATACAGTTCTCTCAGCTCTCCACTGCTCTTCTTTCCAACAATCACTTTTTCTTCTACAACATCTAAGGATGCATGAATAGTGTACATAAACTTCAATTCACTACTTGGATTGACCGTCCTGACGTACAAAGGTGAATTCTGAAAAAGATTGACATTTTATGGTACTTCCTACTATCCATGAAATATAGGAAAAATAATAAGAACACAAAGCTGAAAATATGGCAGCCATCAATCTTATCTATGTTCCAAAAGTATGTGACAAAATATTACTTATTCAGCAATCATAATAGGTTGAACATTGTGAAATCATACTGACTTTCCATACATTATTGTTATTTTACAAAAAGTTAGCATTCTCCTTATCTGAAAATGTACAGTACTGTGCAAGTGTTAGGACAAAGTCAAAAATTAGAATTCCAGGCTACTTTCAAAGAACAATTGAAGGTAAATCACAGGTGAAACATCAAACATTTATTAATCTTCATTTTTCGTAGTGGAAGTTCTTGAGTTCGGCAAACAGTTAATATTTTGTGTGCCCTCCTTTTACTTTAATAACTGCAGACAGCCTTTCAAGAATTGTCGCAACATACTTAATCAAAGTGTCCTTTGGTATTTTACTCCAAATGTCTCTAATATAAAGTTTTTTTGGAAGTAACTTTAGGTTTGTCAAGTTTTTGATCTATCAAATCCAAGATCTGCTCAATTGGGTTGATATCGGGGCTCTGTGGGGAGAGGGGAGCTCTGAATGTCTCCAGCAGCTTCCATTATTCCATCTATTTTGCAAATATCTCCCTGTTGCCTCAGCATAAAAACACCCCCAAACCATCACATTGCCTCCCCCATGCTTCATGGTAGGTGCTATGCATTGAGGTAAGTATCTTTCACCTATCTTCTGCTGGATGTATAACCTACGTCTTGAACCAAATATTTCAAACTTAGATTCATCTGTCCATAACACCCTTTTCCAATCATCGACGGTTCAGTTTTTATACTTTTTAGTAAATTTCAGTCTCTTGACAATATTTGGGGATCGAGGTAAAGGTTTTTTAACTGCTACACGACCAAATATTCCATTCTCATTGAGTCTTCTTGATACTGTATATCTGGACACTCTTCTGTTATTTGATGCATGGTCATTTACCTCATGCTTGAGATCAGTGGCAGTCTTCCTTCTGTCCCGAAGGCTGCATAAACAAAGATATATAACATCAGTATAATTGAGTTTAGGTGTTCTGCCTCTTCCTTTCCTATTTTCAAATTTACCTGTCTCAATCTCACAATCTAGGATGTACTTGACAGTGCTTGGGAAGTATTTCAAGTCTGCAGCAATTTGTCGGAGAGTCCAACCAGCATCAAGTAAAGCTTTTACGTAAACTCTCTGCTCTACTGACAATTCTCTACACTTTTGGGGCCATGGCATGACAACAAAACTTAATACATGTAGTGTTATACACTGTTTTTAAAAAGGTTTATTTGTGTAGTGTTATTAAATTGGTTTCTTCCACCATATATTGGTACCAGATGCTAGCTCCTTGCTAGCTTCTTTCTATATAGTTAAGATACTGCATGGGGAACCATGACAGTTATTTCAGACTCTAAATTTGAACAGTATGTTCATTCAAGCAAAACCCATATGACATGCCTTTGGTACAAGTATATGGGAATTCTAAAGAATTATAAGTATTCTTAACCTGGCTCATTCAGTTGTCAACAGGGATTAGTGAAGCATTACCATAGTGTTGAAATTTACATTCTGTAATGACATGGAAGAATTAGCCACATAAAATGGAAATAATGACAAAATACTCTCTTTTACAAACACTTTTGCACAGTACTGTTTTTCCAACAGATATTCACCTCCATACATAGATAGCTATTTAACTCTTCAAGTTGTGTATATCTGTCAGACTTACATGTCACCAGCCTTGTGAAAACTCCCACCTAAATTCATGTGTATTCACATGAATTTACACTACCACATGATGATGTATCATGCAGTAAAACCTTCCACCAATAGGAGCATGACACACCTCCTTGTGCAAATCGTTCTTCCACATTTGCATGCAAGAATCCTCATTCTTTGATAAGGCAATAAATAAAGGTGTACTGGAAGAGTGGGGAGGATGGGTGGGAATGTGTACAGAGGTGAGTATCCATCATAAATATATTTTCAGGTAAGGAAAATGTTAACTTCTGAAATTAACACTCATCTTTTACACAAACAGCTAGAACCCCACATTGAGATGATGGGTAAACTGATGCAAAGATTTTCTAGATGAACCTCCTTCTGAAAGCATCTAAAGGAAGCCCATGAGGTGTGACACTCAATGGCAGGGATTCCATAGGGACACACCCATGGGAGACCTCATCTATTTCTTATGCAGGGTATTCTCTTTGCCTGTATATATGAAAAGTAGAGGCAAAATGCCTGAAATGTGCTGCTAGGATGGGCAAAATAGATGCATAACCATCTGAGTACTTCCATCAAAAAGCCACATGTGTAGTGAGGATGGGGATCATTCAGATCATACCTTGTGTGCTCACCTCCTTTACCATCAGACTCAACAGGTCAAAACCAGCTGTTGGAGAAGGGAACTTGTGATAAGTATCTGTGCACATCTCCTCAACTGTCAGTCATTAGGGGCCTTTTGCAGAAGGAGGACACCATATTGGAATATGTCATTGTGGATACTTTATAACCTCTACTCAATCATCAGCCTATATAAGCCCCTTGCCTGCTATGGCAGTTGAGGGTGAGTGATACATCACAGTTAGATATGGATTAATTTAATTTACTCTGCCATCAAAATCTGAGAGTTCATGCAAATGCAGGAGCAAAAATCATGAGAGAGAGAGTTACATATATATATACATATATATATATATATTGATACTGTGATAGGTACCAATCGGAAATTGTGATGTTCAATGAATGTTTTTTTCTACCAAAAGAAATAAATAATTTGTAATGAAATATAACATTTCTCAACACTAACAAATCATAAAATGAGTAAGAAACTCTGCAAGCACACATAAATTTGACAGTGAAAAAAAACTTTGTAACATTGTGACACAGAAGCAAACACACCTGTGATAGTGAAAGCTGCTTAAAAATTTATAAATAATATTTCACATTTCTAACAATCAAGTAAGCATCAGGTCAGTCCATTGGACCAACCTCATACTGTCTCCAAGAATGTTGACTATGATTCTGAATTAACCTCATGTATTTACAAAACAATGTGGAAAGCTTTTAGTAAAATGTACAAATCCATTGTACACAAAAAATCAGATATGTTACAAAATGATTTGTACTCGAGATATGTCTGCAAATTGACAATTCAATCTGACTCAGACTCTAACAAGTTGGAGTGCGAGGTAATGTTTATGTGAAGAATATGAATACTTTTGTCCATTAAACAGTTTGCAAATTGCATTTAAATAACCTCTAGAGTGTCCAAAATGCATATGTACAGTCTTTCAGTATTTCTTTATACTGTATCTGGTAATTTTCTATACTATGAAATGTTGCTATACCAGCAATGTAGGGTAAAATGTATAGCTTATAACTCCGATATCAAATACATAACACAATGTTGACTGTCAGTCGTTAAAAGGTGTCCTTTTATACACACCTATGCACAGAGGGTTGATTAACTAGTATACAAAAATTATTACATGTAACATACAATTGGAAAAATAATATGCAAGTAGTTAATCACACTTTATATGACAGACTTGAATATTCTAATGCAGTGGAATGAAAATGCAGCTGTGAGTCATAGTACCTCATAAACATATACATCTATATGTTTGATCCATAACAAATTCCCAACACTTCAATTGTAATATTGCCACGAGTATAAATACATAGGGCTCAAAGGAATTATCAAATCCTTTTCCAAAGAAGAATATTCATCTAGCAAGATTATTGAATAACTTGGAGCTTAATGACAAAACATTTTCAATGAAAGAAGTTATCAATGTTCTCTATGGAAGCACAAAAATTCTCACAGCCATATTTAGGACAGTAATGAGCTCTGAAACCACACCACAAGTTAACCTGGAATAATGTCTTCAATCACAAAGTGAAGGCTATGGTTAGAAAAAAAAACACCTCCAATAAAAAAATTCAGAAATTAAGCCAAATATATCTACAATTAACAAGAAAATAAACAAGGTATTTGAAAATTGAAGATGACAAAGGCTCTTTAGCAACTATTTTCATGAGCAAGATTGATGAAGAATTAGGAATCACAGCAATTCCATTCAACCATATACCTGTCTAGACTGACCACCAACAGCCTTTTTTGCCTTGTCTGCTTAAAATGGTCTAGGAAGTTGACAGCTAGGTACAATAACTTGAATAAGAGATCTGTGGAAGGTCTGTCAAGATGTTGGTGTAAAACAGACCTTACCTTCCTTAATAATTGTTACAAATGAAATTACAGTTAAATAACAGTCCATAGTTATAACTAACCATCTGGTTAAGCATGACTAATGATGTAGGGAGAAGTTATAAAAGCAACTGATATTCATAATGATATGTTCTTACGATATTTTTTCAGCCATTTTCTTTATGAGCTTATAACTTATGCACAATACACACTAAACAGTCTTAATAACTTAGTATCCATAAATTTCTAGTTGTTACAGCTATTTGTTAACCCGAGTTACTCTATAAAGTATAAGTCTATTGATAATGATAGTACCGACCTCTTTTCCAATAACAGCTACTGCAACAGCCATACTTAGAGATGCTTAACAATATTGGTATTACTATAACTACTCGTACTAATACTACTTGTAGTAGTAGTACTAGCACTATTACTATTGGTAATAGTAACTAATACTAGTATTTGTAATCTTTCAGATGAAACTTTGTTCAATTTCCAATATACTTTTGAACACAAAACACGAGTTCAACTAGGAAAACTACACATTAAAAACAGAATTCATAATTATTATTACAGCAATCCCAATTTACACTACTAATAAAAAAGTATTATTAGTATTATAATATAGTTTTCTGTTTTTCTTTTCTTTTTTTGCGATTAAATTCAGAGCAGAATAATTTGTGCTACCATCTAGCGGTAAAGGATAAATAGATATATAATCTTTTCAGTTGGAAAATTATATATATATATATGTATATATTAATGAATCTGACTTTCAGCTTTAACAACAAACATTGATAAAACACCCCAATACAAAAAGAAAAACGAAATTGGTATAAAGTCAATAAGTATCGGAAAATACATAAATTTCGCCTCTTTCCCAGTGCAGTTTGCTGAGTGGTAGCAATGATTAATTAAACTAACATGGGGATAATTCTCAGAGATATAATAATACATATACAAATTAAAGTAGACTCATAAGCCTTATGCAGAGAATAATGTTTGGGAAATTGGAGAAAAGGTAATTTTTTACAGTATATAAAAGCTAAATCTCCGAAAATTTCAAACAATCTACTTAAAAATTCGAAAATAGCTAAAAATAAACACCAGAAATAGGAGCTCTAGTATTAATTAACACAATTATTTTCTCACATGTCTACGTTATAAAATGTATAAGCTTTGTATATCTCTATTCTGACTGATGCTTTTAAAACAATAGCATTAAATTTCGTAACACTACATAAATTATTAAACAGAGACCACCTGAAAATCAAATTCATCACTGAAGAATTATGCACAGTAAAATCCCCGTTTTGGATTTTTATATGACCTTAATCGACTTTTAACCGCTTCAAAGGTCAATTTTTTTGGTTTTTAAATCATTCTAGTCCTGCGCATTTTTACATTATTACAGATTTATAAAAGAGAGAGAGAGAGAAAAAAAAACGACTACGCCTTTAGGGCAGTTACCGTTAATTTACTCTTACCTTTTCAGTTTTTGATAACAACAAATGTCTTGGCTGTTGTGTATAATGATATAACAAAATGATATAATTTGAGTATCTACACTAGATATATGCGTAAAGAAAATCACGTGCTTAAAAAAAAAACTAATTTTATTATAAGCTCCAAATGAACCTACCCAAAATATCTCTTGATACCCTGTGTTTGGAGTATGATCAAATTAATTTATATACTTCCCGGATTGATTTTAGACTCTAATCTTTAAATTTACTCAAAATGTGTAATTATTGTCTTGAAAATAAACAACCCTAAAGAACACATGATTACGGCGACATGTTATTTTGGATATTTTCATATGTGAAAAAGTAATGGGACAATCAGCTAATAACAATTTTCAAAACAATAATGTTAACTAATTAATCACAATAAAGGCTTCAATCATACTTACAATTTTTGTGTTTGTGTTACTGCTTTGAAATTAAATTTTATGCTGGCGACATGCTACTTTAAACACTCCACCATTGTTTATTTCCTTAGTTTGCTGGGAAAACTTAAAACAAACTCAGCATATTATATGTGTTTGGAAAGCCGTGTCCATTGTCTATCATTTAGAAATTATTATATTGTTACGCCTCCGTTCGTTAGTTAATTTTCCGTAATAATTCTTTCCGAAGAAACTTTACCGATACAAGGCCTTTCTTAAACAAAACTGGTTTATTCTTTATCAATACAACTTTGCCATACACTTAATTTCCACAGTCGCGCTATAACAAACGCTATAATTCACAACAAACGTCTCACGTGCTCGACTCAACTGTCAATTACACACATTGTTGCCGTCACTTCTTGGCGGCTTATATATACAAGACTACCGCATATCTAGTAGTCTCTCAAGACTTCAGGAAGGGTTGTGAACGTTCGAGAACATGACGTGTTACTAGTGTCCGTGACCCCCGCTGTCATAACACTGCCCCTTCCTTAGTATTGTTCGTCCCGAACAAGAGCCACTTACATTAAACCAATAAACAATTAACAATAACTTAATTAAATGTACAGAATTTACAAACACAAAATTAAAATTCAACAAAGTCTCTTAATTTTACGGGACGTATCTTCTTCCGTACTGGTCTCCGTCTTGTTGTCTTCTGCTTCATGTGGGGTTCATCTGCTTCATCAGGAAACGTCCTATCACTGGTAACAGTCACATCAGTGGTAGTATCTTCATTAAGGGCTTCACTGTTTCCCCTTCTCAAAACCGGGTAGAGTTTCTTTTTCGACAATGGCTTTTT